CTCGTACAGCGATTGCATGTTATTAAACATCTTGGAGATTAACTATTCAACACACAGACAATAACCTGGCACTGAGCTATCGTCAGCCACAGGCACAGTTTTATCCTACGATAACAAGTCATTGAGCTGAACATCACAACAAACAAACGAAAGGTAAATAAACTAGAAGAGAAACAACGTTCTCTTTTTTTGCTGCTTACAATTTTTTCTTGGGCAATAAGAACATATTTGCTTGCATTTTTTGAGCCAGTGAGGCCCGAAAATCAGTTACGGACACGCTCCACTCTTATCCCGTCAGTAGATTCAAATTTTAATGTGATAAGTACGTGTAGGTATCTAGCCTTTTTAGACCTCATCGTCCTTAAGACAAACCATACATATCTTTAGTCCCTCTTCTGGATCCCACAAGATTCGTACTTTGTTCTTGTTGAAACTAGCCTTTCAATTCTAGCTAGATGATTGTATGTAGCAGTTCTAGCACGGTAATAACACAATGTCATAAACCTTTTCTACACGCAGTGTTACAAAGTAGGTTGACAAACGTAATAATCTAATTTTCTAGTACTCTATTGTGTGCAGGTTTAATTGGAGCAGAGATAATGTGTACCAACAAAAAATGCATTGATTGTGCAACGTTCAAGTTGCAGCGCGCGCAGATGCAGTGGGTACACTTCGTGTTATTCCAATCAGCATTTTTCGGTAATGTAACATAAAATATTTAATTTTATAATAGGGCTTAAGACTCTAGGCTTTGCCTCTGTAATAGTCGTGTTTAGGGTAAAACGACGAATCCATTTGTGTTGGTGGTATCGTATGACAGTCCGAGACCGAAGGGAATATCGACTCAGTTGCTGTACATAGTAAGTCTTTGGTGATTTAGGCTCTGGAACTGACAAAAGCAACTTTCTCTGTCAAAAGTATGATTAGGAAATAGGTTGCCAATTCTGCTTTTCAGATAGCGTGGTACGCGTTTGACTTGATGCCGACTATAAGGTGTAGAACGGGAAGAAACGCGATCACCTATCAGTACAAGATGACAGGAATACCCATCGCCTCACATGTGCCAGGTTTTTAAACGCATGATGGCAGTTGTAAACTAGTCTGCGCGCGGAAGATGTCTTAAGAAATTAGGCGAATCTCTCGGAGATTCATGGCATACAACACTATTGCCTGTATTCACAAACTAAGAGGTCTCACAGTACGCGTGGACGCACAGAGTGACACAAAAACCAGAGAGCTCTATTTCACGCTGTGCGTGTGATTTGCATCACTTAAGCAAGCATCGTTTGTGAATACGGGCGTGTGTCTCACCTGTTGCACCAGATCCAAGTGTGACCCTACCTTGCTCGCTTGCAGTGGGAACACGCGGCATGCGGCCGTCGCGCTGACCCCGATGCGAGTGCTTGTGATAAGGCAGGGTGGAAATACTACCACTTAGATTCTTCAACGAGATTAAGCTTGATACTTTGGTTTTCCTTGTACTAAATGCGTACATCGGATTATCACTTTCCTGGACAGTAAACTGCTATATCCGTCATAACAATTAAACTTCTATTGTGTCTGGGTTACTGTCCGGGAAAGTGTTATCTAATTTTGCGTCGCAATGGTACACAAATATTTTTCTTAGTGTTGTAGGTGGGATAGTAAATAAATATCACCGCCTACCGACATTTCCAGTAAAAAGTACTTTCAAACATAAAAAACACGAGTATCTCTGAGTAGATAAAACCAAAGTAAACCAGTTCTGGAAGATTCAAGAATCAGATTTTTGTAAATTGTGATCAAATTGCTTAAATTTACAAGATCTGATTGACTAAATAGACGCGTTATCAAGTCATTTAATAAATTATTAAGATAAAAGTATAACCTTATGTTAAAGGCGGTAAAATTTTATGATTTTTAAATGGATAACAACTGTGGATTACACTGCAATTTCATTTCATTCATGTTGAAATAATTGATAAAAGAGCTTACTTGTAGTTTATTGCATGCATCGATATTTCAAAATACCTTACCTACTTTGTATGTAAAATAAAATTTGCTGATGCCTGTACGAGTGGTAAAATTACCACCACTAATGAATGTCTTTTATAATGTGAAGTTATAACCCATATTGGAGTATATCCGGCTAATAGGGTAATTGCGCCGGTTTTCCGTCCAGCTCCTGTTTTCGTCCATTTGACCGACTTGCCACAAACAAATACGGAAAATTAGAATACAAACCTAACTTTCCGTGCAAGTTTGGACTTGTTACAATCTATAATATCTAAGTAACAGTTCTGCCTGCATGAAAATGTAATTTGACAAGTAATAACTCCAAAAAAATCTACGGAAGTTGCTGCTGCACACAGGTGAATGGAAAACATCGTCAAGTTAGAAAAAAAACGTGCTGGTAGGGAACTTTCATGGTATGTTTAATTACTGTTTTAGCTACTTTACGTAATGTTTTTGGCACGTATGTCTAATTATTAGTATAATAAACACTATTTTATGGGGTTTATTGAAGTTTTTGTATAGAAATCTTAGATAATTAAGTGGACTAATACTAGCATAACAATTTTGCAAGATTTTGGTTTTCGTCCACGTGGACGGAAACCCTGACACCTAGTTAATATTTTTAATAATCATTTTACTTCAATGGACCTACAAAATACAATGTTTTTTCTTCCAATATGATCTTTATTGCTATTACATTAAACATTTTAGTTTACGTCCACTTTTTAACAGTGATAAACCCATAAAAACCGTTAAAAAGATGTGGACGAAAACAAAAAACAGCTTTAAACGTTGTTGTGTTTTCGTCCATGACGTCATGAGCAAGCACTGGGGTGGACGAAAACCAAAATTAGCTATTCCTGTAGATTAGTTTTCGTCCATTTGTCCTTCGACCTATTGCAATATTTTCCTAAATTTAGGTAAGAAACTTATTTAAATCTTTTTGATATCATTTGAAAGCTAACAAAATTACCTTTCAAATGATATACCACAATCCATAGTTACTGTATTGTAGAATTGGTTTTAAGTTAATAATTCAACTGCACCCTTTTTTCTACACAGTGGTCGAAAACTAGCGTACACTAGGACGATAACTGATTTTTTTGGACGAAAACTAGTGAAATCGCCTCTTTTGCATAAAATATTTTTTATAAAAAAACCCGTGGTATTTACTTATTGTCATATAATATTAACGTAAAGTAGACTATATAAGGACTAAAATGACATATGATACATATGAGTAAGGGTATTTTAAGATATTCATTTCGCATCACAAAGTTGGCAACTCCGATAATTGGACGAAAACTAGCGCACTTACCCTATTATAAATGCGAAAGTTTGTATGGATGTCATGATGTCTGGATGTTTGTTACTCTTTCACGCAAAAACTACTGAACGGATTTTGATGAAACTTTACAGTATTATTGATTATAACCCAGAATAACATACAGGCAAACTATATTTCACGAGGGTGAAGCCGCGAGCAAAAGCTAGTGGATTATAAATTGGATTGAATTTACTAAATCCTAAAATGAACCATGCTAGAATTTACCTATAGATTTCCAAATTCCATAATTCATCTTCTTTTTTTTTAATTGGATGAGATGCAATACAGGTTGCTATTATGTAACATTTTAACCAGACAAGACTAAAAGAAATTTACATAAATAAAACTAGGCCTGACCCATGTGCCATCCAAGAGGTGAAGCCATAGGATCGCTAAACTCAATGTTGCCAACATACTTATGCAATCTACATAATATATTATGCGTAAGTAGTCTTCAGGCTTCATTGTGGTGAATACAATAATTAAATAGGCCATACATACACTGATCTAAGAATAGTTTTAAGAAATAAGTCTATTATGTATGGTACTACAGCCAGTTATAGCCAGATTATAGACCAATAAAGAAATAATAATAAATTTTATTTACTGAACTATGTGAGGTCATGTTACTTCATAAAATGTGAGATATAAAAATATATTTTAAAATAAACAAAAACCTATCTAAATCATCATAGGAATTAATCGGAACTGGTTTTAATTCAGATGTACCACTATAGCTACTTATGTATAATAAACTAGGATCCTGCATTATAGAAGAGATCAACACTTAAAAATAAGAATCAAGATGCACTGAAAGATCTAGGTACTTTCATAAAAATATGTTCTATGTATAGTATAGCTAACTGAAATGTAGCGCGAACCACATCATAACTCTGCATACGTAATTCAAAACTTCGCAAACTTTCATTCACTACCAAAACAAGTTTGGCGTGATTCATGCTATGTAAATGAATACAAGGGGAAGTCGAATTCAACGGTTGGAACGTTTCTGGAAAACAACCAAGCTACAAAACGGCTGTAAAACTTATTGGAATGCCCTGTTAGCGTTGCTAGGCGGTGCACCACAAACAATACTGGGAAAAACCTGTGGGAGGCTCCACCATCTGCCACATCCCTACGACATCAGTAAATGCTTATTCTAGGTACTTACACCTCTAGGATCCTGTCGCCCTTTCTGATGCCGGCCTGCTCAGCCGCTCCTTGTTCCAAAACAGCGCTTACGTGCTGCAGAGGAGCATACAGCTCCCCATTGATCGATCTCAACTGGCCCCCTTCAGACACTTGGCCGCGAACATTGAAACCGAAACCAGTATCGGTTTTGTAAATTGTAACTCGACGCGGTCCATTGGCAGCCACTGTGCTCTTATTATTTCTTTCGGATCTAACAATACTGTTATTATCGGTTTCTGTCTCAGCCATTTTGGACACTGTTTACCACAGACTTCTTTTGACATTTCCTAGACTGTGTTGCCATTTTACAGGCGATGACAAATAGTGTTGTATTTAAACAGTGTTTACCGATTTAATTTATCGGATTCATTATTCGATAGCGAATGAATCGGCTTCTATAGTAGCGCCATCTAGCATGTTTTTAAAGTAAGTTAAAGACATGTATGATAAAACAGCACGAAAGTTTTCGAGTTTAGTTACTAGATGTCAGGAGTATTGAAACAACGTGGTACGAGAAAATTTCAACTTCTTTCACATCAAAATCAGCTGTGAACATCAGTATGGCCGCTCAAATAATCAGAAAATAAATTTGTTTTTTAAAAATCAAATTACAAAAAAAATAGGAAAGTGCAGTTTTCGTACTTACATCGTGTAATTTTAAAGAATAGTGGCGGTGTTGATGTTGACTAAAAGTGTTGCGTCATGACAGAAACCTCTCACTGACAAACAAATACAATAAAAATTGCGACTATCATTACGGCGACTTATTGTAATTTCTATTTGGATCGTGCAGCATTTGTCGGTCGCTGAGGGCTGATGTTATTTGTGCTTGGTAATCGCGCGTGATAATGAGTAGTGTTCGATTGAGTTTGGTTTCTGTGGGGAGGATCGCGAGGAGAAATTGTCATTTGACATCAGGTGAGTGGTTTTCGATTCACATCTTGTTTTTTTGTTGTTGTATTGGATTTCCGCCAACATCTTGTGTCGCAGTTCCCATTACTCGTAGATTTGTACGTGCAATCTGTGTTTGATAACAAAGCGTCACCAAAGTTTATCTTGTATGCCCCTTTCAATGATTATTATTACATAATACCACAATATTCACCTTTGCCATACGGTTCTGTATAATATTTGACCATGTCCTATTCAAGGGGACATTCAGGTACTCGGCAAGGTCAAGAACTTACATTATAACATGCATTATGGCCATGACACTGATCTCTAAAGGTTGCTTCTTATTGGAATCATAATAGCTCTATTATATTCAATTATAGCTCTTAATACTTTAACTTATTATCCCATTATTCCATATATGTCTAGTACAGTCTTTTCATTTACTATTAAAGCTATATTTAGCGGCTTTATATCATTAATTAATAAATAGATGCAGCTTGGTCATCTTCCGTTACCCTTAGGGCATGTTATCTTAGCTCTGTAAACATTTTGAAAACTGACAAAATACCTAATAAGACAATAATTTGAACGCAATGAATACATTCCAATAAGAAGCGAATAAACCTTAATGTTTTTGTTCTAGTGTTTTCATTAATTCCTTATGATCAGTTTGTTTTTAACAGAATAAAATGTATTAATAGTTACACAATTTCAATATGTTGAATTTTTGTATCAAGATCCTTTAACATTAAAAATTGTAACATTAGAAAATATAAATGCATAAGACTTGGGATTTCAAATGTTTTGGGATAAGAATAATTTTGCTTTAAAAGTTTTAGTGTCCGACCGAAACTAGTTTTACGACCGAAACCGAAACCGAAAACGAATTTCGGCAACGGTGTCTATTTCGGCCGAAACCGAAACCGAAACTTCCTTACAAGGCTCATATTTTGAGGAAAAAATAAAGAAAACGTTATTATAAATTGCATTAAAATTGAACTTATAAAGTGCCTTTTTACTCTAAAAGGTATCAAATTATGTATTAAAAAAGAAAAAGAAGGATTTATAGTCTAGATTTTTCTTTAATTACTCGCAATATTCAGGACATCTACATAACCCGTCCCATGGTCGGGTCTTTTACCTTAATAATTTCTCAAAACAAAATTGGTAGTAAGTAAGTTAGTATCTAATGTACTTGCCACTTGGATACCTTGGTGATAAATACTAAAATGAACTTTGAAACTCTGAATCCATAATATTATCACCATGAAATTCACTATAGTCATTACTAACTACTTAACTAATGTTTGTTTAAGTAATAGCATTTGCAAAAAAAAATTATAGGTTAGATTAAACTTGATTATACTTTTATCAGTCATATTGATTTTTTTTTATGTTTACACCCGCTCTTATGTTATAACGACATAAAACGAGATAAAACTTACCAAATTCAAAATAAATCACTCGAAAACTCGCCACCACAACAAAACAAAACTAACAGCAAACAAACAAGCGAACGAATCACGACATTGGCTCTGATCGGATTCATCCACTCATTCAACGCGCCGAACATGTCCGATAACAGCGCGGAAACTCCCGAATGCACATTCGGTTTCGGTCGTAGTTTCGGCAAGTTTGCCGCCGAAAACGAAACTAAACCGAAACTCGTGTTTTTACCGAAACTCAACCGAAAACGAAACCGAAACCGAACATTCGGTCGGACACTAAAAAGTTTTTTATTTTTATATAACCTAGTTGCAGATCACATTCCGAATTCCAATAATGTTTCTGTTTTATTTTTATTTAATCAAATTTTTGTTGGTTTCAAATTCAAATTCAAATTCAAATTGTTTTTATTGTGAAATCACAGGTAAATACATAAGTCAGGTCATAAAATGTTTGTAATAGATCAGCTGTGTTCCGCCGCATGGGCATACAATAATTGAAAGATACAGAATATTAATTGATGAAATGATAGGTAGTACAATTTTTATAATACAATATTAATGATACAATTTTGTTAGTCAATGATTAATATATTGATAAGTTAGTCATACAGAAAATATTATATTGTTTATAAAAACGATTGAAATGAAATATTAATTAAATCTGCACAATTATTTTCTTTATAAATTACAATATTAAATATGTCACAATAAAATTTAATAAATGTCAAAAATATAATAATATTTATGTATTGAAAAATAAGGCATTTTGAAATAAAACTTATTAATAAACTAAACTTAACACTGTTATTGTTTAGCCAGAAATTTGCTCTAAAAGTTTTGATCGCTATTAAAAAACAATCCAATACACCAAAAGAAATGATTTTATTTCTGTTGTTCATTATCAATTCCGGACAATACGAAACATTAAAAAAAATATTATTGCTAATTGGAACCAATAGGCACTGAAATGTTAACATAATGATATAACTCAAGGTTCAGCTGATTGTCACAATAGGTTTATTGACACAATGATAGGTATTTTATACATCAAACATAATGAAAATATTAAATTGTATTGTATTTTTAATATTGACATGAAAGTAGGTATCATGTCAATGTTATTATGTAATCGTACATAGTTATTGGTTTATCTACAGTACAGGAGTACCAATGTGGTTGATTTACTTTTTACGCTTATGAGCTTTTTTTGTTTTGTATTGGCGTAATAAAATATACAGAGTGGTACTTAATATACCAAAAAATATGTAATTTTTTTAAGAACAGGTTTTTTTAAAAGGATTAAGGAGCTAAAAGGCCTACCAGAAAAATAATCGATTCCCAATCCCAACTAAAGTCCCTTTATTTTTATATCTAGTCTGGATCACCCTGTATATGACATTGGAGTATCCCAAAACAGAAAAACATACTCGTGATTTGATTAAATAGAATCTAATGCTCATAGTCATACCTCCAAGTTCAAACCCTCATTACCATTCGTCGAAACAGTGTCGTAAATGCACGCCATGGTTTTGACAATTGCCATCCTTCCGAATAGGGTTAAGTTTAACTGGATTGTGTAATATGTGCCTTGACATGGATAGAATACAGAGGGTATTTTTTATGACACTTTTAACTTGAACTCCTAGCACATTTATATTTCAACCTTGTATTGTTATAACAAGTGTACTGTTTACAGCAGGTTTCATACAAAAATTCATAGGAAATAGGTGTTTTTAAATGCTGTATTTTATAAATTTATTTAACTTTAAATAACTTAACTGATACTAGTAAGAACTCACGTAACTTAATATTAATGCTCTCAGGAGAAACAAGTTTAAGTACTTAGTTCATTGTTTGTTGCTAAAAATATCTTGACCGCGACCTCAAGGATAGTATTTACTGTTAACTATTTATATCACAACCTTTACCGTAGTTATATACATTTGAACTTCAGGTATAAGTTCAAACCTTGATTTAAATTGATCTTTGGAAAGCAAAGAGCTACATTTAATGACCACTTGTACGCAACAAACAGAAATAAGTGAGCGTTGCGTAAAAACAACCAGTTTGGAGCTGTGGCCCGCAGTTTGTTGTCATTGTAGGTTTCCGGCTCAATATTGATATTATTTGCAACACTTACGGCAATATCAGTATGTCGAAATACTTAGCGAGAACATGGCTGTAATTTTTTTTTTCATTCAAAAAAACCCTACTACCGCATAAAACATCCTCCTTTTTGCGATGGCGGTTAAAATAATAAGATGCATAGATGTCTTAATTATTTTACAAAATCACCCTTCTCGTCCTAGCTGTGTGCAAAGGCTCGCAATGATGTAAAGTTTTAAGCGAAAGTTAATTCTCGTTAGCTTTGAACCAACATAGTAGGGAATTTAGTGCAATGATTTGTATGGAGACCCCTCCACTTTGGTATAGAAGGCTCATTTTTGCAACAGTGGTTCTTTGGGTGCTCCTGAGTGGATTTCCGTCGGTAGACATCGGGAGCCCCCCCTGTGGCAGCAGGGGGAGGGGGGGCAAGTTTCCTTCCGCCGCGCTTCACTTTAAGGCCCATATCTTCAAAACTATGGGTATTAGGGCAAGTGTGGTATCATTTTCGGATAATTGAAGGATGGCGAATTCATTTCTAGAACAAACTTTTTGCCTTTTCANACCATAGTATTATATTGTCATTTAAATGTACATTTAATTGCCAATTTTCATGATGTATCATCAGAAGTGCGTGTAATTCAGATTCTTAGACTTTATTACATAGATCGTTAAAAGACTTGCAAGTCGACCTAATAAAAGCGTGTTAAAAATATGACTAGAGAAAATAAATTGAGTTTGAATCGCGACATTACACACAGTAACTAAAAGTATAGGAGGAAATTTTGACATTTATTAAATTTTATTTTTGACATTTATTAAATTTTATTTTGACATTTGTTAAATTTTTATTTTTGACATTTATTAAATTTTATTTTGACATATTTAATATTGTAATTTATGAAGAAAATAATTGTGCAGATTTAATTAATATTTCATTTCAATCGTTTTTATAAACAATATAATATTCTGTATCTTTCAATTATTGTATGCCCATGCGGCGGAACACAGCTGATCTATTACAAACATTTTATGACCTGACTTATGTATTTACCTGTGATTTCACAATAAAAACAATTTGAATTTGAATTTGAATTTGATATTCAAATACATACAAAACTATAAAAAAAAAAAAATAAAAAAAATAAGAGTACTAGGACAATGGAAAGTGATGGACCACGATAGCAAGATGGAGCCTACATGGACCGGTTTGCCCGTAGCTGCCGAGGCTTGCCTGGAAATGGTGAGATGTAAGTGCAAGAAGTAGTGCAGAAGCTGGTGCTGTCTGAAAAAAACAACTCAAACGGTCACAGCCGTAACCTTTGTGCTAAAATATCTCCCGTACTATGATTGTGAAACCTCATTTTCCTCACACTTACCTTTCCGTTAAATCACTGGTACAATTGTATGTACAAATAAAAGTGTTAATTAAAATAATAATAATCATTAAGACGTTTAGACAAATTAAAGTTCTTTATATAGTGCTTTCTTCTTATGATATTTTAAATATTAAAATGTATTTAAGCTATTTTCAACCTTATATCTCACTCATAGAGTTCAAAATCAATTGACGAAAAAATACAAATTATGGTAGATTGATGTGCCAGCAACTCTAAATAAATTTTAAAATAATAATCCTTGCTTGCTTATGAACCAAATAGTATTAATTCATGGATAAAATAAATATTTTTTTCCGATGCGCAATAAAATTCGCCCGCTGTGTCCTGAAGCAAAAATTTTTTTCACCTACTTTTTGCGAAAAAAGTACCATACAATGTTATATTTTTATAATCCTGATAAATGTAGCTTTTAGGTCATATTTTTTTTATTAGATTATCTCCAGTGGTTTAAAAGTAAACGACCTTTATTTAAAAAAATACTTTTTGGTTTTTGTGAATTTTACTCAATATTTCAATTTTTTTGTATGAAAAGGCAAAAAGTTTGTTCTAGAAATGAATTCGCCATCCTTCAATTATCCGAAAATAATACCACACTTGCCCTAATACCCATAGTTTTAAAGATATGGGCCTTAAAGTGAAGCGCGGCGGAAGGAAACTTGCCCCCCCTCCCCCTGCTACCACAGGGGGGGCTCCCGATGTCTACCGACGGAAATCCACTCAGGAGCACCCAAAGAACCACTGTTGCAAAAACGAGCCTTCTATACCAAAGTGGAGGGGTTCTTGCACTAAATTCCCTACTAACACGTGAGATATGATTCCATATGCCTGCCGGCCTTAAAAACTTTGATTATCGGCATCAATATCTGTTCAGGTTATAAGTTCAGTTATTAATGAGAAATAAAATTTCAATTAGGTAGCATAATTAAGTCCTATTCGGAAGTCCTATAAGTATGATCTGATTGTATTTTCGAATTAGATTTGCACACCTCTAGTTCCACAGTCAAACCAAATCTTACAAGTTAACTAATGTTGCTAATATATCTTCTAGTAAACATAGCCAATATGCCATTATATCAGAAGACCACTGCGTTACATAAACTACCGGCCGGTGCACGTGTTCATAATTCCCAAACGGCCCAATAACTCTTCTTCAGTGAATTCGAAAGTGTCGCCAAACAATGGCATTGTCACGCGTTTCCACTTCGGAGGAAAGCGTCATTGTGGCCTGTGACAATGTGTTTGAAAAGCTTGTAGACAATTGTTGTTGAACCAGTCACCGTTTTATGAGATGATTGAGGTGCAAAGTTGATAAAGTAGCTCTGCTATCATTACTTTTAGCATTGACAATATTGGAAGTTAGCCAGTAAAATAAACATAACATTTAACGCCTACCCAAAGTGGACTCACGACCCCATAAAGGTTACAAGAAAGCACTGTATGCAGACTACCAAACCAACAACCGGCCAATCTGGAAACCATCGGGGGGCGCCTATTTTCAGCATTAGAAGTCCTTTGGCTGATATGATGTTGATTATTTATTACAAAATAAAAGTGAACATCCTTTGGCTGAAATAATAATGATTACGAAATGAAACCCTATAGCCCATTTTTTACCTACAGAATCACACTTTCTTTTTAGATTTCGGTTATGCAATCGCCAGCGTCACCACATCTAATTTTTTTTTTTAAAACGAATCTATTACATCTACAAAAGTTACCCTACTCCAAAACGCTATTTACGTAGTTTTGGGTCTCTCTGTCATCGTCGCTCATGCTGGTGTCTCACTTTGCATGAGAGTGACGGCAACATTCGAAACTTCGGATAAAGTTTTCCGGAGTAACCCCGCAGTATTTATCTTTAAACGTGGTCTGTATTTAACATGAACTGTGTTGCCAGCAGGAGTGCAACAATGCCGAACCTTACGACGGAACAGCCCGCGCTCGCTGAGCACGTGCGCGGTGCTGTGCAAGAGCCCCACGGAGCAGCCGCCCGGCCCGCCGCACTCGCACCCCCCTAAGGATGCCGTCAACTCTGGTAAGACTCTGCTCCCACTTGAGAAGCTCACGACGGCTCGCTGAGCTATGCGCGGTGCTGTGCAAGAGCCACACGGAGCAACGGAGAGCAGAAATACGTGAATTAAACACCAGTATCACAAGAAAAGGGTCCTGTAAGCTGTAGATCCTGGCTACGCAGGAGTTGTAGCGGCGGGAAAAAGACGTGGGAATAGTCCCGCCGTGTCACAAGAAGAAGCTCTCACAAGTTGGCGCCAACTGAAAACTGAATTAATCCAATATGACAATATTTTCAGTTTTTTTACACATAGTCAGTACATCTATGCTGCGGCGATGTGCTTGTGATGGTTGAGTTGTTGCATATTATCATACTCGTATTGAATGCCTTCGTAATAAAAAATAAATCGACTGTTTTTATAGGCGGTTGTTGAATCGACACCAACCTTAATGTCATTGTTGCTGTTGTTGCTCTCAAATCTCAATGGCATATTCTGCAAAATTGCTGCAACAGTCATATTCTGTAACCGCCCTATAAGATATACCATTGGTAACCAAAGACGTCTCTACCAGGCACGACATCGGGCGGCAAGAAGTCGGGCTCCGGCAGCGGCGTGCTCACGTGCCCCAAGTGCGGCGACCCGTGCACGCACGTGGAGACGTTCGTCAGCTCCACGCGCTTCGTCAAGTGCGACAAGTGCCACCACTTCTTCGTAGTCCTCAGCGAGGTCGACACCAAGAAGAGCATCAAGGACAACGCCGACACTAAGTCTGGATTCTACAGGTACGTGGATTAGTTTTATTAAAGCTTTTTTTTATGCATAACAAGGCAGGTATTTGACCACAATCGCACCTGATGTTAATAGGCCAGTAGAATTAAACACAAAAATGGATTAAATCGGAAATAATTCCTACTAAAGATTTTGGTGCTTTAATGGCTTCATTAGTTGCCCAAAAAGACTCTCCTAGGTTTTCGACTTCGACGGAGTTGTGCTTAAGTGGTAGGGGCCCCCGAAAGGGGCGCTTTTTTGGTTTTCCGGTTATACCGCGTAAAGGACTTACCCTATCGAAAAGTGGTCTTCCTGACGGTTGAAGGGCATTTAATTCTGCATTAACCCTAGAGTGCTCGCGCTATGAGCATTTTGCCGCCCTCGGCCAAAAAATCGAGTTATTTTCTACACGATGCGTTTGTTAAAGTCAAGCGTTTCAGTAGCTGCCTCCCCATACTTCACCTCCATGTATTAGAAATTAGAAGAAATTTAGTGCGCAGATGACCGCAATAGAGAACGATTGTTGAACGTATGTCACGTTTTGCGGCAAATTGCTCACTGCGCGACTACTGACGTAAGTAAAATTTGTGTGTCTGGTTTTTAGTGTAGTTGGAAGATTATTAGTTTTTATTGCGTATAATCTTGTTTTGACATTAATGACGTCATAACATTGATAGTTACTATTAGTACTCAATTTATTTCATGTCGTTTTCGGTAAAATTCACGTAAAATACAAAAAATGAAAAAACAAGGAACATGTCGGATTTCGAAGAAGCTGGTGCACTAAAATTAGTGGAAAATGTATACTAAAGTTATAAATAAAGTAAACATAGTCATTACAATACTGTTATAGAACAATCAGCGGCAGAATCTGAAGATGATGTGCCAAGGGTGCAATAGTTGTGCAACGCACATTAAATGCACATGTGACAGGCCTGTTTTGTTGAAGCACATGTCATATGTAAGGAAAACCTTTAAGTGTGCTAATAAGTTTAATATTTGATGATGTATGTAGGTAAAAACAATAGTGTTTCTAAGTTTTCTATAAATATTTCCTAACATTTCCAAAATATATTTTTTTCTTTAAATTTTAACCACAAATCTTTAATAAACGTTATTTTCTAATAGTGTATGCTTTATTCTATCATTTTTAACTGATTTTCATATTTTTAAACTGTTAATTGACACACAACCGGACTTTAGTGCTCGCGTATGAAGTTTGGGCGGCAAAATGCTCATACGCGAGCACTCACGTTTCACGGAAAGGCGCGACTACTCTAGGGTTAAGTAAGACCAAATTCATATGTTTTGAACAAACTGTTCTCGTGCAAATGTTCGGCAAAGTAGCAGACAGCAGCAGGCAACGAATTCCAGTCCCTAGCTGTTCGCATTATAAAAGAGCCATCATAACGCTTAGTGCGAGCTGGTGGAGCTTCAACCACTCCAACGCGTTCAGATCGCCATCGCCGGCGCGATCATAGGCCAGTGACAAATCGCGCGACCCATGACAGTCTGCCATGTCGATTTGCACGAGTTGGTGAGGTTGAAGCTTTTAAGGTGGATATACATGTATCTGTGTGAGATGTAGATTGTAGATGTAGGGATAAATCTCTAGTCTCCAGCGAGGAATTCTCTTAACGGCTTGCTGCTTCTGCTACTGGTGCTGTGCTGTGGTAATAACTTACCATCAGGTGATCCGTTTGTTCATTTGCCTCGTGTCCCATAAAAAAAAAAACTCATCCTCGTTGGAGAGCGATTATCGAATTTTCTCCGCGACCACAGTACGACTACTGTAGAGCGTAAGCTAGCTAGAAAACTATTTGAATCACTAATATCTAAATACGAGCAAATCGCGCGAAGTAAACAGTCTGTATTAGACAAAGATAAGTGGATAATTTAATCTATGAGATTTTCATGCGTAAACGTAATTTTATTGAGTGAACGTGAGACCTATTTTGATCCAAATCAGGAAGTAATTCAAATAAATTCTTCCTGCCTTAAAATAACAACCTTGCAATATTTACTAGAACGTCTGATAAAAAATTCTGCAGAAGTTCGTTGTCATATAAACAATGCAGCGCTTTATTTACTCTGCAACTAAGTACATAAAGTTGCAATTTTGCATCAAAAATATAATTATTCACTGATGTGCAGTCGACTTTACTATGTCAGCTGTTTGCCCATTTATTTAGGATCGTTTACATTGAAGTCCAGTTGTTGAATTTAGCCATCAAACACGGAATACTACTTTGCATGCAAACAATACTTAGCACAAGTGCACACGCGCATCATAGGTCAATGTCAATTTATTCGGCTATTAACTTCAGGGATATCATGATGATCTTGAATTTTTAAAAGGTTCTAGTGTCCGACCGAAACTAGTTTTACGACCGAAACCGAAACCGAAAACGAATTTCGGCAACGGTGTCTATTTCGGCCGAAACCGAAACCGAAACCGAAACTTCCTTACAAGGCTACGTTATTATAATCAGTCAGTCTTTAAATTTTTGCGCAACCAAACGGACACCAGGTGAGTAACTCTCTATAGAGCTGTATACATTTGTTGGTAGCGGCGACTGGTTGCGCCGCCATGGTGTCCCGGTGAAATATAGCCCTTATAGTCTAGATTTTTTTTAATTGCTCGCAATATTCAGGACATCTACATAACCCGTCCCATGGTCGGGTCTTTTACCTTAATAATTTGTCAAAACAAAATTGGTAGTACGTAATTTAGTATCTACTGTACTTGCCACTTGGATACCTTGGTGATAAATACTAAAATGAACTTTGAACTGTGAATCCATAATATTATCACCATGAAATGCACTATAGTCATTACTAACTACTTAACTAATGTTTGTTTGTTACGTTTAGCATTTGCGAACCAAAAAAAAAAATTATAGGTTAGATTAAATTTTAAGGATTTTTTTTTTGGTGTTTACACCCGCTCTTATGTTATAACGACATAAAACGAGATCAAACTGACCAAATTCAAAATAAATCACTCGAAAACTCGCCACCACAACAAAACAAAACTAACAGCAATTACAGCAAAAAAACAAGCGAGCGAATCACGACATTGGCTCTGATCGGATTCATTCACTCATTCAACGCGCCGAACATGACCGATAACAGCGCGGAAACTCCCGAATGCACATTCGGTTTCGGTCGTAGTTTCGGCAAGTTTGCCGCCGAAAACGAAACTAAACCGAAACTCGTGATTTTACCGAAACTCAACCGAAAACGAAACCGAAACCGAACATTCGGTCGGACACTAAAAGGTTCTAACTCTTAGGCCCAGAACAGACGGTGAAACGCAACTGCAACGAAACTGCAACTGCTAGTTACTTTTGAGTTGCATCTAAGTTTCTGCCATAGCGTCCATAGCGTCCGTTGAGAGACCACACATGACGCGACCAGTTTGAAACTTTCAGTTTCATTCATCAGAATCATCACAAAGTTGCAGTTTGGTTGCATTTGCGTTTCACCGTCTGTTCTGGGCCTTACAAATAATACTAATTAGCCTAAACTTTCCTGATGCCATGGAATTATTATCCATTGTTTGTGCACGCTATCATTATTATTTTTTTCCGTTTATTTTTGCGGTGAACGCACGAAGGCCTCTATCACCAAACCAAACGTATTATTTGTGTTTCAACATCACATGTAACTGTTATGTGTTGGTTAGGTTCGCGAGAAGTCAATATCTAGATTCAGTAACCCCACTCACATAGCTCGTAGAGACGATGGCCGTTGGGGCAGGAAAGTTCTCGAGTGGCGACCACGGGCTGGAAAACGTAGCGTGGGCAGGCCTCCTACTAGGTGGACCGACGATCTGGTAAAGGTCGCGGGAAGAGCCTGGATGCGGGCAGCGCAGGACCGTTCATTGTGGAAAACCTTGGGGGAGGCCTTTGTCTAGCAGTGGACGTCATTTGGCTGAAACGAACGAACCCCACTCGCTCAAAAAGAAAGGCAGGGCTTGTACGTAGAGACCGCAAGTCTGTTTTTGAAGGACAATTATAGAAAAGTTACATCAGATTCAGAAGCACAATAATCTGCTGGGTCAGCCGGGTGTACCAGAAAGTATAATAAAGTTCGCAAAATAAACAAGAATCATTCTACATTTCGCTGCTGGTCTCAAAACATTAAAGTATAAACCATTACTATACCTTTTGTAGAGATGTCATGGAAATTGAACCTACTGTTTACCTAAGTTGTTGTGGAGTCATTATAATAATAATAACATTTGAATATCTCATAACTAAAGTCCAAAGTGTGCTGTGCAAAAACCGAAAAGTGAATTTTGGCCAAAATAGAGGTTACGTAAGAAGAAAGTGAACGTTCGCAGCCCGTAGAAACGGCGCATTATTTATCTCGCCAATGTTTTGAGCTCTTGCGATATTTATGATGCCTATCGCCTTGGTAGCCCAGTAAATGTTATACAGGGTGTTAATAATACTGATACAGCCCTTGAAACATCCTATATTTGAAGTATTATCAGAATCACGAAACAGTCATAATAAATCGAAGCAAATAGCTATTATTTACCTATGAAAAATCTACACTCTTCTACTTGGCCTTGTATTTCGCGTATTTATTCAGTTAAAAAAAACTTTTCTATGCATCTGTTTTGTCCAGTTTCCGGGTATCCTCAAGGAACCTATAGTAATTTCCAAAAAAATCAGTGTCTGTATGGTAATAAAAATTGAGTTATTGACCCGACACCAAATCTGATTACATCTAAACTGTTTATGTTTTAAGTAAGAGCCAAACACAAAAGCCTTCGGTTACGTATTTTTACGTAACGGATTCTCTTAAAATTGTAATAATAATGAGCATACGCCGGTCAACAACATCGTTCGTTATGGTCTCGAAATATCCCTTTCAGGACGACCAAACACGATCGTGCACGTTATTTCAAAAAATTCACGCGACTTTTCTAACCAACTTTTCGAGCCCAAGACGCTAGCCAACGATCGTGCAACAGTCTGTTTATGAATTAAACGCATAGGTG